CATTTTGGTCTCTTCACAATGGTGGTTGTTACGTGCCGTGGAGTCAGTTCCAACTCATAGCGACCCTGTACAGGGTTTCCGAGGCTATACATTTTTACGGGAGCAGAAAGCCTCATCTTTCTCCCACAGAGAAAGTTTCGAACTGCTGACTTTGAGGTTTGCAGCCCGATTCGTAATCACTACCCTACCAGAGCTCCTTCACCATGGTGGCTTCCTTCATATGCCTGGTGATGTTTGGCTTCTCATTGTATTTAAGAATGAAGGAATCCGAAGGCTGTTGAGAAGCTTTTTGTGTCTGTCCGCTTTGTGTTAGGGCGACTAGAGATGGGCTCAGATGTTGATGTTATGCTAGGGACCTCCAAAGGCCAGAACACAAAAGGCTTCACTTTATGAGGGTCGGGGACAGCATTTCACAAGGTATTCTATGTCCCTTCAGATAGTCCATTCAGTTCTTAAGAAGAGAGCTCTCCGAGTTTTTTCCACCTTGAGTTCAAATCCTTGTCTTGGGGTAGTGTTGCATGCAGGGAAGGTTATGGGGGATGGGGTCACTGTGCTTCAGACTGACCTTCCAGGATCAGCCCCTGGTAGCCTCATATCTCACTTTGCTCTCTATCTTTTCTGGTGTCTGCATCTGGGACCTCCTGTCGTGCTTCTAGACAAGTGGGCTTCCTCGTTTGCTGCAGCCCCCTCTGTGTTAAGTCTAGACTGATCTTTTCCTCAGCTCTATTTTTAAAATAATTCAGATTTTTATTCAGCTTTTCGTTGAGATCACCATCTTTTGTTACTGTAGATTTGTATTTTTTAAACCTATGTTTTCTTTTGAATGGAGTCTTGGGAGGTGTGGTGGACAAATTTGTGTACTCAGTCTCTCCTATTTTGAGCTGGAATTTTTGGAAAAGCTTGCGAATTATTTGCTTAGAGAATGTACTTAATTTGTTTTGTATCACCCTCCTCTTGTGTACTGCTTCTTTATGCACATAAGCATGTGCTGCATGGTTTTGCTTACCACACAGTCTTGAGCTTTATTTTCATAAGCTCACTATACCAGTATTTGTTACATGTTGCTGACTTCAGTTTCCTTTTTTTTTTTCTTCAAACATATTTGATGTTAAATCGCCATCTTGGTGCCTGTTGACATGGAGGTTTGGGTCCCAGACATTGACCCTCTCCAGCCTACCTTTGTGTTTCTAAAGCAGCTGGTGTCCCTCCAGGATTCCATCAGTGTTCTGTAAACGGCTCTCTCCAATGCAGGAAGAATCACCTTTTCTGACCTGGAACAGCTCTCATCAGGGTGGCTGGCACTGGCCATGGGGTGTACAGACCTGTGAATCCCAGGCTGGAGAGGCCACTCATGTAGGTGAGGTCAGGGCACTGTAGCTGTGTGCCTTCTACATAGGCTGGCCCACTGCCACGCTCGGGCTGTTGAAATCTCCTGTGCACGTGGGCTCTGTGCAGCGGGAGTGAGATTCCCGGATGCCTAAGGAATGAAATTAGTCTGACTGGCTTCCCCAGGACCCTTGTGTGCACCTGCATCCATACTGCCCTGTCACTCTGACTTCATGTGAGGCCAACTCTGCAGGACGTGGGCACATGTTAGCAATGGCCCCAGTCCTCCAGAGGACCAACCTGGGCTTGGGCTGTGGCATCTTGGGCTGTGAGGGGGCAAGTGACTGGGTGCAGGTCAGCTACAAGGACCCCCACCGCTCGCAGGCCTGGCTGCAAATTGCCCCAGAGCAAATGTAGCTTCAGTGGTTTCTTTTCCAATTACCTGGGTACTACCAAACTCAGCTTGTGACTCCTTGAGTCCTGACTTATACCTTTTACTATACAAGTATGATCAAAAGTTAACAGCCTGAGACTGCAGGCCTGCCTTGGAGGGACTGTGGATTCAGTTCCAGACTGCCACAGTAAAGTGAGTCATTTGAATTCTTGGTTTCCCAGAGCATACCTAAGTTCAGTTTTAGTCTATTAAATGTACAGTGTTGCTATTGTTAAGTGTGGATTCTCTATAGGCTTTCCGAGGAGTGACTGGTGGGTTTGAACCACTGACCTTACAGTTAGCATTCAGTGCTTATTCTCCAGTGTCACACCAGGATGCCTCTCCGAAGACCTCTGCTGTGAAGAACACTGTCTTTGGAATATTGTACAGATACCCTTTTTCGGTTACCTTCATCTAAGGTGGGATAGTCAGAGAGCTCACCTGTCAGTTGTTTTCTACCTGCCCTTCTACATGTGTCTTGTCTTCCACTCAGGGCTAGATGCAGCTGGTGCTGCTTGGGGCAAAGATGAAGAATAGGTTTTGATTTTATGTCGTGAGTCTTACCAAACTGTGACACAGACATGAGGTGAGCACATGCTGTTTGAAAAGTGCTCCCAGTATACTTGTTTGACTCAGGGTTACCACACACCTCCAACTTTGAAAAAAAAAAAAA